TACTGATGCTAAAAAAAATAGGTATTTTCTTTTCAAGAGCCCATGCGGTGCAAGGACGCGGAGGGGACACGTCACGCGCAATCCGCCGACGACGCATGGGCTACTTTATTAATACATGGCCCACCTTTCACTCTCACATAGTGCTTAGGAGCACGTGCTGCAGCTAGCTCTTATTCTGTAGCCGGTTCATCTTCTCTCTCCTCTTCTCTTCCCTCCACGTCAGCAAAAGAACAGTATTTTAATCCTTATAGCCTGCTTACATAAGCTTATTATACTTGCTCTCAACCCACTAGGGTTCAAATCCTGGCGCTTGCATTATTTCTGGATTTATTTCAGGATTTCCGCCGATAGGGATGAGTGTATGCGCGTGCATATGAGCGCTTGTGTCTGTACTGATGCTAAAAAAAATAGGTATTTTCTTTTCAAGAGCCCATGCGGTGCAAGGACGCGGAGGGGACACGTCACGCGCAATCCGCCGACGACGCGCTCCCGACCCGGCGATGTGTATGACTTCCGGGGCCCGCAGGTGCGGCCGCTCCGCTCCCAACGGGCGGGCGAGGACGACCGGCGCTCTCGGTGGGGATCTGGCCGTTTGATCCGACGATGATTATCCCTTCCTTCCGCCTCTCTCTCTCTCTCTCAAACGGATTTCCTGCCATGCACCGGGTCCTTGTACAATCCAGCGGAACAAAATCTCTCTTCGGTCCTCGGGTTAGTGGAGAATTCACGTCTTTGCCCTCCGCGCACACATCACTGCCCACCTGCCCCTTCTGCCCGTGCTGCCCGCTCCTCTATCCCTTCTCTCTCCAGCATCCTCTTTCTCTCCTCCCTCCCATGGCCATGGAGTCGGCCTAGCCAGTTGTGCCCGTTGAGAGCGCTCATATACCCTCAGAGGCGGACCTCCAGATCTGTGGTCTGTTGTAGTCTCTCTGCTTCCTCAAAACAAGGTAACCTCTCATGTTTACATCGCCTTTATTAACGCATCTCAACTGCTTTTTACACCTGCTTGTGGTAGTATGCATAATCATATCTTTGTTGTTCATCCTGGTAATTTACCCTAGCCGCTCAAGGTTTGAGTTGGCACCTGTTCTAGGCTCTGCTCTGCTCTGACAGACCACGGCAAATTGTGCTATGAATTCGTTTGCGTGCACCTGCAGAGTCTGAAACCTTCAGGATTCAGCACAGATTTTCTCACTCGCTGAGAGAAATAAATACTAGTGCTCTCGTTTTCTGTATACTCGTTTTTCTCTCTTATCTTTCCCTGGCACTTCTGTGAGCTTTCTGTTCAGAGAAAAGTTGTGTTTTCACGTCTCTTCTCTGACCTACCAGTAGCGGAGGATAGGGTGGAGTTTTGCTAGAATTAGGCGCAACAAAATCTCTGGGAAGAATCGCTTTTTTCTGCCGGCCCAAACCTTGTTGGGAAAGTAGAATGTTGCGGGCGGAGGTTTTAAGGTTTCCTGCTGCTGCCTCTGCCTCTAACTAACGGTAAAAGTAAAGCCTTATCTCTGACTGACGTGTGTTGATTTCTCCTGCCTGCCCACGTGTTCAGCCCCTGCAGCCGCGCCCGGATCGGATGGACACCGCCATGCACCCCGCCGGCGGCCTCGCCGACCTGCTTACCGACAACGCCGGCACCGGCACCGGCACCGAGGTAGTACAAAAATCACATCTCTCTCTGTCGTTTTACTACGTACTATTTTCGTGTGTACTTTGAAGTTCTTTTTTCACCCTCGAGTAGCATGCGTGTATTTTTTTATATATGAAAGAAAGATGTGCGAAAGAAAAAAAAATATCACGGCCGTTCCATCCAGCTTTTGTACCGTTGTGAGAGTGAGATATGGCTTGGACTTTTCCGGATGCGGAACCGTGTGGTGCGCTCTAGGCTGCAGTTTTCGGTTGTGGCCTTCAGTTCCGTGTGGGTGGGCCCCTGCCTCAGCCCGCTCCTTGGTCCTTGCTTGCTTCTTTATTACAGCTCCTTGCCACTCGGCCCCGAATATTCGCTCCCCACAGGCCACGCGAATATGCCTTCAGAGATGCTCTCCCTCTCTGAAGAAAAAACTTCGTCAGTGTGTGGCTTGCTTAACCTGCAAGCAGCAGTGCTAGCAGGTGCTTAGGTCAAGTCAAGAGACGGTATAGCATATTATGCTATGGTTAATCACTTTCTTAAGCGTGAGACAGTATAGCATATTATGCTATGGTTAATCACTTTCTTAAGCGTGAGACAGGCTGTCTTTGACGCTAGAGCTGTCGCTCCTGCGGCCCCACCTGCCTGTGCCTGCTCGCCATTGAGAGTGACACAAGGGACTTTTCTGTAATTATTTGGGGTGGGGGGTCCTCTGACTAGAGATATTTGTGATAGGGTCACTTTCTCCTCTCACTGTCCATGTTTGTCCACAAAGCCAAGGGGCTTCGCTGCAAGTGAGCACCACATGATTTTGTCACTTAAGTGCTCCCAACCACAGCATGGTCCAGAGTAGCATAAAAGTACAAGGTATGCAACTGCGTGGACACATGATTGTTGTTATGGAGGCTGTAATATTCCATCTTTGTGGCACTCTGAAATAGATTCACAAGACAGATAGGTTGAAGGTAAACTGGCTGAGCTATGTATAAATAATAAAACTGAGGTTGTTCAGCCTCTTTACATGAGGGGTGAGATCAGGCTTCACAAGCCTTAAGTTTCAGCTGGTCTGCTCCTTAACTGCTAAGCAGCCGGTTCTAGGATATCAAACGGGGTTGTTGTTTATTGAGCCGTGCTCTTGTTGCTTACTAATATGAGATGCTAAGTTTACCATTAAGAAAAAGGAATGATCTGCTGCCATGCCCCTCGTTATTTACTAGCTTTTGGCCACTTTACTAATCCTTTGTTCTTGTGTTGTGCTTGTGGGTTTTTAAGCTTTGTTTCAAGCTTTGGTCTGGATGCTGTTTGTGCTTGTGGGTTTTTCAGTTTTGTTTCAAGCTTTGGTCCGGATGCTGGTTTTTTGACTTAACTATGTTTGCCTGATCCTTGTACAGGGCATTATTTGTGGCATGCCAGACTTCAAGATGGGTGGAAAGAGGGGCGATGAATCTGCCCCTACTGATGCTGGTGATGAAGATGGCGAAGATGATGACGGGGATGAGGATGGTGACTTCGCGGAGGGCGAAGAGGAAATCTCGGAAGGAGAGGAGTATGACAACCCCAAGGCCAGTGACGCCAAGAAGAAACAAATAGGCGAGGGTGAGGAGAATGGCGAGGATGATGAGGAAGAACAAGAGGAGCAGGACGGTGGAGGAGGTGACGACGATGATGATGATGACGACGATGATGACAATGAGGACGACGACGATGATGACGACGATGTCGCTGCTGAAGACGATGAGGATGGAGTAGAAGAGGAGGATGACGACCAGGACAACGACGATGATGAGGAGGACGATGACGAGGACTCGCTCCAGCCCCCGAAGAAGAAGAAGAAGTGAAGCCCTTCGACGCGGCTGCTTTAGTCACCATGCAATGAGATGTGCCTGTTCTTCACTGTGTTCTGGAAACTTTCCTTAGAGTTAAAAATGCCCCACACGATCACAATGTGTGGGCTTGTAGGAGCGATTAGAGGGAACTTTGTTGTCACCGTTGCTTTGCTTCTGTGGAGTTGATCGAACAGATGTTTCGCTAACATAATTGTACCTGAGTGGCGAAAGCCTCAAGATTTGAATATGTCAGTCAACTCTTTTTATCTCCTTCCGGCATCGTTCTGTGCAATCTTGTTCAGAACACATTGTGTTGGTAGCTCCTTAAATAAGGCCAAATCACATTGTTGATAGCTCCTGGATTTATCGTGGGTGCTGTCTGGTTTCTGCATAATTCTGCTGATGATGGTGACTAGATGATTACGCTAATGTCTAGATATATGGCTTGTTAGTGTAGTACCCCCTCTGTTTTAAAATAATTGTCTCAACTTTGTACTAACTTATTTTAATATAAAATTGTACTAAAGTTCTGACACTTATTTTAAGACGGAAGGGGTATTTTCTATATAATTAAACAGAACACATCTCTGTCCAAAAGAAAATAAAAGAACATCTCCCTTGGTCTTTGCACACTGTCCAAGCGGCATGGCTCAGATGTCACACCCATAGGCGTGATCTAGGAAGGTGCCAAAGTGCCACTTGATGCCACCCTTCAGAGAAGTAAGAAGCGTTACATCCCTGATAGGAGGTTTCTTTTTCCCTTTGGCGGTTGCGATTGATAAGGCAATCATCCTCTCCAAGCTTCATCAAGGAACCCATGGAGCGGCCAATGGCAGGAAAAGGATCCCAGTGCCTCGGCTCTGACTAATAGTTTAGGTTAGGTGACCGGTGGCGGGAGAGGATCCCAGTGCTCCGTCTCCGGCTAGTAGTTTAGGTTAGGTTTTTTCTCGTAGGGGCGCTATTTGGGTGGATGGTGGCGTTTCATCTTTGAGCTAGTCTTTTCGGCTCTGATTCACCTCGAGTTTGTCCATCGGGACGGAATCAACGGAGCTATGGCCTAGATTTCCGTCGTTTCCTTGGGTCACCGGGATTAGGGTTTCTCGCCGTTCGTGTGCGACGACGAGATTTTGCGTCGGGCGCTTTAGATTGATTCAAGGGTTCAATTTGATGACTGCGGCTATGAGGCGCAGGTCCTTAGGTACACGTGCACTAAGACTTTCCGGCTGTTATCGACAAGATTAAGCGACTCCTATAGGGAAACAGTGAAACGGTGTGTAGCTTGCTCTAGGTGGTGCAAAGTCCTTGATGTAATCATTGTTGCGTTTGGGATGCTTTGTACATCTTATGAACCTTTATAGTATTATTTGGGTCATTTTTCGCCAAAAAAAAACACTAGAGAGTGGCTTATATTTAGATATAGAAAATTAATTCAAATTACAAACATTAAAGATCAATGAACTTGTATGTTGAATTCCAATACTATGATGCATTATCGTGTATCTATCTGGTATTGTTGACAAGCTTTAAACTTATGTGTCTACAAGTCCAAATAAATGTATGCGCTCTTAAATTTGTAAGCGCTGCTACACGGACGATAAATTTACGGCCGACGCCTGCACGATCCTACTTGGCAGAGTCAAGAGCTAGCATGCATGCAGGAAGCGATGTTGAGGAGGACGCATCGTTCGCGGATCGTGCAGACAGTGTCGTGTGTAAAGCAATTCCGTAAATTTGTGGCTCAATTTTTCTTGGTCACAAGATAGCCAGTTGTCCAAGGTCTTTTCCCATATGAGTTTGATTAACGTATGCAAATTTATACTAAAAATGAAAATTTCCATGCATTGCAACGGGCATAAATAGGTTAACCCATGATTTATCTGCCCATATTAATTTGGTTATGCAAAAGAAATATGATTATCACAGAAGACAAAAATTTATTTGGTAAATAAGAGGTGGGGCAGTTAAGGCGTCTGTCAAGAAAACCCGATGGAAAATCAGATATGGGAGAGGAAAAAATCAAATAGGGAGAGAAGGAGGTGAGAAAGCAAACATAGGTAAGATTGAACAAAATAGGAGGGATTTTTAAATAGTACGATGCATTTAGAATTACAAATGAGGCAATTTGGTACTCTCATATAGTCATACTCAAACTCACTTGTATCTAAAGCATGCCACGTGACAAACCCTAGCCACCAACAATCTCCTCACCCAGTACGTTGGTTCTCCTCCCCGTCAGACTTCTTGTCACTGAGACCGGGGATCTGGATCCTGTGTAGATTAAAACTTTCTATGTTAATTTTGTGCATCCTTGGCGGTGAGGTAGCCAAGGTGGGGGCGACATAGTGTGGAATAAGTAATTATCGTTTGCAAACTCCATCCTCATCCTGGCATGTCTAGCTTTCGCGGCCAACATCGGTGAGCTAGTGGTATTTTGGGAAAAAAAACATTTCATCATAGTGTGATCATGGTCTTTTCTTTCAACAATTTTGGCAATGAAGTGTTGGTTTGATAACCTGCCTTATGAGGATGTGTCTTTAGGTACGGTGCACTCAATGGTTTAAGATTTTCACCACTGACGGTGGACGGTTGATGTGGCTATTCAAAACTTTCGAAGTTGGTTAATCTTGTGCATGTATGGTCTTATGCGGTTTGTTTTCCAAGTGCGAAGAAGAACATCAGGATGTGATTGGTGGAGCTAGAGATGACTAAATTAGAGTGTTCTAATATAATTTTTAAGTCCAGTAATGTTCTTTGCTAGTCATGTTTGTTCATTCCGTCTTTGATCCGTTGTAAGTCTTCATTTTGTTAATAAACTAACATCTTGGGTCTAAAAGAAACATGTCACGTAGAGGGGAAAACACTTAAGATGGAGATAAATACCATCATATCTTATCAAGATATTGCTCCTATCATGGAACCTGAAGTTGTAAAATGCAAAAGGCATTAGTCCACCAACTTGGGGGCTCATGTTAATAAGCCTTGCTCGGACTGACTGCATCTACATGGCGCGCCGTACTCGCAAATCAATGAAAGTGACAATGGGCAGGGCGTCGTGTACTTGTTGCGATTGTATTTTAAGCGTTTTCCCAAATCCTCATTCTCGGTCTTTCCACTCGTCCGCCTCTCTTATTTCTTTAAAAAAATCACGTGTAATTTTATTCAAAGCCAACAACCATTACTTGTACAATGTTTTGGATCATAGACCCAAAAATTGCAGAATAACTCCTACACTAAAATTACAATAAAACATCTTGAAGATTTAGTCTCTGTAGCGACAATCCTCACAAACATGAACTACTACCAAGGCCTCCATAAATACAAGATCAGCCTCTTTTGTCTGTGTAGCGACGACTAAGGTGCATGACAAAGAACAACCTCACCTTAGGTATCCACTCCCATGACTTCTTCTCGCAGGATCAGGGCCGGCAACAGAGCTACAAATCCATCATGGTAGCCCGCCTCAGCCCTTAATTCGACGGCGTTTTTTGAAAAGTGCCTCGAAAGCTTTTCGGCGATTTGCAGAAGTGCCGCTAAACTCCAGCAACACTTGGGCTGAAATGGACAGGCCCGTTAGCGCAGGCTCCTTCTCCCGTAGCTGTTATCCTGAAGCAACCTGATTGCCCTGTCGTAAGGCGATATATGAAGGGGTTTTTCAGAGTCCTGAAGGAACTAACCAGTTCATCAAGTCATACATAGTGGACCTGCAAACTATCGCTGCTGTGGGCAGTGGTCAGGAACAACATCAAGCGGCGAGACCTAGCCACTGGATTGCACCACCGGACACGTATGCGAAGATCAATGTGGATGCGGCGACCGCAACCAACCGAGGAGTTGCTGCTGCTATCTGTCGAGATCAAGCTGGCATTTTTCAAGGTGCTTCGGCTCTGGTTATCAAGGGAACCAATGATCCACCAACGCTCGAAGCATTAGCAGTCAGAGAGGCTTTGGCGCTTGCCGATGATCTTAATAGCCGCAGAATACATGTCGCTTCTGACTGCAAAGATGTACTGAACGACATCAAGAACAAAACACCGGCTATCTATGGAGCTATTCTGCATGAAATCATAGATCATAGTTTCACTTTTATTTCATGTACCTTTGTGCATGAGTTTAGGAGCTCGAATTTCGAGGCTCACAATCTTGCGAAGCATAGTTTGAATTTGGGGGTTGGCCGCCATGTGTGGTTAGGCAATCCTGGTAATCTTTCTTTTGTACCTTTGAACATTGGCACAAGTTAAATAAAGCTTTGCGTGATTGTCTCAAAAAAAAAAAAACCTGATTGCCCTGTCTTTTTAAGGTGGTCAAGCTACTGTTCCCTAAGCAGTATGGGACTAAAACTGCTTTGCCTGAGACGCAGCGACCGAACTGATTGGTCAGCACCGCCGCCAAAATACAACTACTCCATCATATGAATCTTCAGGAACCATGCATCATTAGCTTCGCCTGTTCAGGTTGAGATGACAAATTCGTTTAATTTTGTTTTCAGCAAGTGACGAGGCAGATTTTTTGTATTTCTCTCCCAACTCCGGCGACACGTGTACCGGCGACCATAACTTCTATATTTCTTCCCTGCTCAGAGACAATGAATCATCGATTTTACACCGCTGGGCCTCGTCGGATTGTTCGAACACAGCACATCTTGTGTGTAACAGCTGATCACCGACCAGTACACCAAGGTAGCTGTCTGTACTCCAATGGGAAGGGACGTCTTTTAACATATATATACACAGGCATGTCTCACGGTCCAAAACAACGTCACCGTCTTCTCCAGCGCCGGCGTTCGGCTGCCTCGACGTTGCGATTAAACGGCGACACCCGCGAGCTGAGAGTCTCATTCATGCACATAGCAGCAGCTCGGCCACCTGCGGTCACCACCTTCATTCCGAGGCAATTTTCTAAAACGCCTTCATAGCTCATCAATCCGAGGCACTTTTCTAAATCGCCTCCATAGCTACATCAATCCGAGGCACTTTCTTAAATCGCCTCCATAGCTACATCAATCAGAGGCAGTT